TTTTTTTTTTTTTTTTTTTTTTTTTTTTTTTACAGTGGAAAAAAGTAATCAGGCTTAAATCACACATAATATTTAGAAAATGCTTAAAGCTTGATTGTTGGTCTCAAAGGCTCTGAATTCCTCCTATTTCTACCTGGGTGGCAGCCAAGGTCAAAGCCCATCTGCAAAGGGCACGATCTGTCGGGATGTCCGACAAAACAGATGCAGAGAAGGGAAAATGGGAGCTACGGAGAGGCGACGGGACCTGCCTCCAACCCCTTCTGAGGCCGCATCCAGTCCTAACCACCCCACCACCTCCCTTCTTGGCCTTGCAACTCACTTTCACTTTCATGCAATGCCAAGCACCCGGGCACTGTGGCAGATGCCACACACTGAATTGTGGCCTCCTCTGCCAAAGCACGGGGACAGCAGAAGGCTCGACCAGCCCATAAAAATTAGCATCTCCACTTTGCCACTTGCACAGCTGTACTGTGACAGCAGGGTCTGGAGCTGGGGTTATCTACCGAGATGTCGTGGGGGAAAGGGAAATGAGTCCATCACACCACAGCAGAAGCTGCCACTGACCTTCCAGAGATCCTACACAAGTTTCAGGGAAAGATCTTACAGGACTGAATAGGAAATTTTGTCTTTTTCAGTGTTTTCCCTTTAACTTTCCAGCCAAGCTGAATGCAGAAGTGTGTCTGAAAACCCTCAAGAGAAGAAATCAATTGTTTGCTTGCTGAGCAAGTACCTACAGAGCTTGTTTGGTTATTCACCCACTCATTTTCTTTTTATTCAGTCAAAAGGATCATGCCCTCAGCACTCATAAAACCTGAGAGCAGGACAACCCACAACCCCTGTCAGGAGGATCCACACGCTCCAAATGGCAACCACTGCTAGGTCAACCCTGCCTCAGACAACACAACACAAAAGCATCAACCAAGCACACACTCTCCCATGAAAGCCTGCCTCCACTTCCAGAAAAGAGATCTGCTCGCTTTCACTGATGCTTCAGCAAAGCCTGTATTATTCATGCATTTTAAGAAAATACTAAAAATATTTCTTCTTGCACTCTCTACGGGTAGGGACTGCGGTCCTTCCCTCAACTCTCACTAGGGGACAGGGAGGTCCCCTGCAGAAAGGCAACATGCTGCTCTGGCTTCCCCCATCGGTATAATTTCCTACATCAGATCAGTAGATAGGAAGGAAGAGATATTTTTCCCCTCCACCCTGTATTTTCAAGCTGAGCAGTGGTCTGGGATCTCCCCTTCTCCTGCACAGGACTTGACATTTACCCTGTGCAAAGAAGGAGCATCATCATGGGCTTAAGAGCATCAGAATGATGTCCCACGCCTTATGCCAACCCTTTCCCTCAAAGGTGCTCCAGAGCTGTTTGCAGGAACCCCTCAGCACAAGCTGGAGCATCACAGAATCATAGAATGGTTTGGATTGGAAGGAAACCTAAAGATCATCTAGTTCCAACCCCCCCTGCCATGGGCAGGGCCACCTTCCCCCAGCCCAGGTTGCCCAAAGCCCCGTCCAACCTGGCCTTGAGCCCTTCCAGGGAGGGGGCAGCCACAGCTTCTCTGGACAACCTGTAATGATGAGCAGGTTCAGCTTTAACATAAGGTTGCACCATGCTGCAATGACAGCCAAGACATGGAATGTTAGATAGCTACACCAGATGTGATTAGAAGTTAGTAATCAACTAATGATGCACACAGCAGAGCGGCTTTGCTTGCTGCAGAGGCCAGCTCTGGAGGGACACCATGAGAAAAAAACGTATTGTGTCAATGTACAAGCATTTGGAGGCAACCCAACAGCAGATCTTTTGACTGAAAGAGATATTTTTGTTTGTTTGTTTTGAACTGTTGCTTGCCAGTGTAGGACCTCACGTTGGGCATTTGTCCTAGCATACAATTTGCATGCCAGATGCTCTTTCGTCTTGCTAATTGTTTCAACAAAGTGGATACTGAATGAGGTCCTTTGAGGTTGGCAGGGGCTTCAAATACGGCCAGCGCTGAGCTAATTCTGCTTCCAGTGAATGGAATAGCAAATGCACATTGGCAAAGCGCTCTTTGCTATTTTTTTTTTAATAACACAAAACCGAAAGCGCTAGAACAATGGTGAATGCCCTCAGAAATCCCTTCTCTGTTCAGGTTAAAGCCCTTGCTGGCCTCCAGCTTGCAGAAAGACCAGCATGGCACTGAATACCAGAGATGGGCAAACCACCTGGCTGGGTCCAGCAGTAGCTTTATTCAGGCTCAGACAGTCACGCGTCAGCCAGCCTTTCCTTCTCCTAGTCCATGTGTGCACCAATACAAGGAGATGAGCAGCAAGCTCAAATCAACGGGGAGTTTAGAAAGTTGAGTAAAAGACTGGAAATTGCTGTAAGAGATGGGCCTCAGAGCCTTAGCAGGTATTTGCCAGAGCTACGTGAACCGTGGGACCACAAGGGACCACCTGAAGGACTGAGTCCTACAGCAGGGCACTGTTTAAGAGGTGGGTAATCTACATGGGACCACAAAATGTCAACTCAGGTCTGCACCGTGGCAAGAAACACCTTCAGGAAGGGGTATCTAGCCCCATATCTTGTTTTTAACAGCAGCTGACACACGATATGCAGGTGAAATGTACGGAAAGGTATGAACATATGGAGATGCTTTTCTCCCACTCAACCTGCCAGCTGCAGACCATCCATCCACCTCTGAGAGGTTCCCAGACTGAAGGCTGCATCTGGATCCTAGAGCTAGCAGCCCTCACTGAGCCTTGAATTCGTCTAATTGCTTTTTGAACCCTTTTATACCTTTGGCCTCCAAAATACCTGGTGCCAACAAGCTCCCCAATTTAATTACTGCCAAATAGTTTCATTTCACAGCCGTTCATTTCTGGGTTAGAAAAGAGACAATGAGTAAACCATTTCCTGCTCCCCTTCTCCACTGCAGTCATGGTCTGATTTTTCTGTCTACGTGAAACCTCCAAGGACAGGTTTATTCTTAGCCCTAAGGGGCTTTATCCATTGAGTCTCTCTTCCTACAGAAACCACTTCATTCTTCCTATCTCCACCACTCCTGCACTTGGCTGCACGCTGTCCAGGATGTTCGTGCAACATGAACTCTAGCCACGTGTCTCATGTTCTTCTTTTCTTCCCAACCTTCATCCTAACAACATCCAATATCCAATTTGCCTTTCTGATAGTGACTGAGATCGGAGCTGACATTTCAAAAAAGTATTCCCGGTGACGCTGAGGTATTTCCACACCTCTCTGTGGTTTTGCCTACCTGAAATAATTCATTAAAGTTGGTAAATACTGTCATTTCCCTGGTCACATGTTTCCAGATCATTTATGAATCTGTTGAGCAGCTCAGGTACTGGCGTGCATCCCTGTAGCATTCCCCTGGCAGCCACGGTGAAAAAAGAGCATTTCCTTCTTTCTTTTGTTTTCTACATTCTTCCTTGGCCTCTCACGCCACTTTGGCCTCCACACTTGCTCAGCCTCAACTCTTTCTCAGCCTCTCACCTCCTTTTTGTATTCCCACCCCCACTCAGCATCAACTGTTCCTTGTCCTCCCACTCCCTTTTAGCCTCCCACTCCTTTTTGGCCTCTGCACTTGCTCAGCCTCAATTATTCCTCACCTTCCTACCAACATTCGGCCTCACACTCTTGCTCACCCTCAACTCTTCCTCAGCCTCCCACCATCTACTGGCCTCCCACCCCCTTCTGGCCTCCATGCTTGCTCACCTAAGACCAGCTATGTACATCTCAATGAGGGTCTTCACTCTCCCACCTTCTTCCCACACAGCCTTGAGCACCGTGGTGCAGATCACCTTCTCCTCAAACCTAACTCTGAGCCTTCAATGTTGATGTTCCCCAAAACCTCAAAGCAAAGCTGGAGCCAGAATGTTTCATTCCTCTGGGATTGTACCCAAGCTCTGCATTTGCAAGGGAATCCCAGCACAGGTCCAGGCTGGGATGGCATCTCTCACCACTTGGATCGGGACCATTCTTCAACAGGCAAGCTCCAAAGGCCAAGAGAGTCCCAAAGCAGTCTGTGTGCTCCTCAGACATCGTGTGCATTTCTAATGGGGAGCCTCAGTTTCCTGGGAGAGGAGCCCCCAGGATTCAAGGTTTCCTTCAATCATAAATTCAAGGCAGAACCCAAAACTGTCCATCCAGACATGCCTGATCTCTGAGGCTCCAGACTCCTGGCTCTAAATTTTGTACCTTGCACCTGTCATCCCTATGTACCAGATGACTGCAGTGAAAAAAGAACAGTCCTCCTTCAAGTGCAAGCCACAGCAAAGCTGTAGCACCACTGCATCTGCAGCAGCTCCCAAGAGGGTGGGCCATGCGGGTAGGAGAAGAGGACATGGAGGGATAAATGGCATCTTAGGACATCAGAGAGAGAAAGACCCAGGCAGACCAGGGGCAGGTTTCACTGAAATGAGTTGCCCAGAGAGGTGGTGGATGCCCCATCCCTGGAAACATTCCAGGCCAGGTTGGACGGGGCTCTGAGCAGCCTGGTCTAGTGAAGATGTCCCTGCCCATGGCAGGGGTTGGACTAGATGGCCTTTAGAGGTCCCTTCCAGCCCAAACCAGTCTGTGATTCTGTGAGTGTGCATGTGTGTGCATGCACATGTGTGGAGGGCTGCTTCCTAACTAGGACATTGCAGTCTTAAATCACAATACTCGGCATGGCACAGGGCAGGGCAGTGTCTCCATCCCCCTCAGTATTTATGTTACAGCCATCTGGATTCATTTTTTGCTGACTGTGCTGGCTTGCCCCCTTTGCCCTCTGCAGAATTTCATTAATGCTGCTTTGCTGGTTGGGGGGACAAAAATGTCT